CTGGGATCTGCATCTGCTACTGCAAAGAGATGAAAACCGTTTCACTCCCGCCGTCCTAAATTTGAGGTCCTCCGAGAATATTTCAGTCCAAGGCAGGACCTTACCCTTCTTATCACGCTCATAGGCTCTGACTATGTCGGGGGCTGTTTCTAGAAGTTCTGTTCTAGTAAACCAGCGGTCGTCTTCCGGTTCCTGATAAGCAAACCGGACCTTATACTGTTTTTGTGGACGACCTCTACCTCCTGTCTTGAACACATCTTCATCTACAATGCCATCAATGTCATATCTTCCATCCATATCCGGCGGGATCATGGATCTTCTTGAAGGGAACTGTTGACTTGTGACACACGGCAACAACTTTGAGGCATGGAATACAGGATAGGTGTGGAGGTGTGCTGGAGTCTCTATTGTGTAGGACGGTCCATCCTCTCCGCCCTTGACTTCTAGAACCGGCCACAATCATCTATATGCAGGTAGCAACTTCTGCGAGATGTGCTCCTCAGGTGCAAACTCTTTAGACTTGACCCAGACTAAGTCGCCTACCTGAAACTGCGATGGGCGACGGTGCTTATTAGCCTGTTCTATCATTCTGTGCTGGGCCTTCCTGAGGTTTTCAACAACAATAGCTAATTCTTTCTCGTGTTGTATCGCAAACTCCCTGGTACCGGACGGTAGCCTGTGAACCTGATCCCGGTTCAATCCTTCGAATGGTCTGCACGGTCTAAAGGACTTGTGCAGCTCATTGGGAGTGCGACAGGTGGACAGATGCACATTGTTATTGTATGCGCTAGCTACCTTAGGTAACATCTCGTCCCAGTTGATCTGGTCGGGTCTAATGTACATGCGCAGAACTTGCTGTAGGATCTTGTTCATTTGCTCGGTCTGACCGTTGGTCTCTGGGTGGCGGCCAGACGACATCAACAACAACTATGACCATGACTTGGCTCTAGTCGTGTCTACTCTTGACACCGGCATCAATAGGCAAGGGTCTAAGAAGACCTAGAGGGGCGCACGTAGTGGTCTTGTTTCTCTAGCAAACTTTGCAACTGCGAGCATACTCTATACAGTCAACTTTCATCCCTGGCCAGGTGTACGCACGCATGAGATTGGCTAAAGTCTTCTACCAACCGAAGTGCCCCTCTGTGTCATGGCACTCCCCTAGGATCAGACTACTAATCTCCTCACTGTTGGGGATGCACAGGCGGTCTACCACATTAGTTTTCTCAAATAACAACCCCTCTTTAGTGCGGTAATCTGGCTTAGTCTCTGGGGCCTCCCTAACTCTCTTAAGGAGGTCACTATAGATAGGGTCCTGCGCATATGCCTGTTTAACTTTCTCTTGCAAGTCCTTCCCTATGTCCAGATAGTGTACTATAGCTCCAAAGTAGTCCGATCTCCTACTTAGAGCATCCACAACTACGTTGTACTTGCCTTTGACCGGTTTGAGCTCAAAGTCATATTGGTCTATCTCAGCGGCCCACCTAGTTAGCTTAGGTCTCATCTTGGCCTGGGTGTTTAACCATCTAAGAGTTTCGTGGTCTGAGTATACTTTGAAGTGCAAGGCCTGCCTGAGAGCGTAGAGTTCCCTCTCGTACGTCGAGGTGGCAACCTTCTCTAAGGGTATCCTCGCTGACATGAACTCTACGGGTCTGTAGCCATTGCCGTCGTCCTGCTGTAACACGGCGCCTATACCATACCGACTTGCGTCCGTGGTGACGACAAATGGCAGAGACGGATCAGCTACATCGAGGACAGGGTACTATATCAATGCGCGCTTTAACTTCTTTAGCGCAGACGTACAGTCTTTGTCCCTTTGCCAGATTGCCTCTTTCTTTAGCAACATGCGCAAGGGAGCGGCGATAGTGGAGAAGTTCCTCACGAATTTCCTATAGTAGTTAGCTAGGCCTAGGAACGACCGCAACTCAGTCAACGTGCGGGGCGTCGGCCAATCTCTAATTGCCGCTATCTTGCTGTCCTCTGGCTTAATGCCATCTCCGTCTGACACGTGGCCCAAGTACAAAACCTGTGTCTTGGCCCACTCGCACTTCTTCGCGTTAATCTTGAAGTTAGCTTCTCTCAGTTTCTCCAAGGCTTGCCTCAAATGACCCTAATGCTCTTGGAGAGTCCTGCTGAAAACTAATATAGCATCTAGATAAACTACTACAAACTTATCTAACCAAGGTCTAAACAGATCCTTCATACAACGCTGAAAGGTAGTTGACGCGTTGGTTAGTCCAAAGGGCATCAGTATGAACTCATAATGCCCATATCTAGTCCGGAACGCAGTCTTGTACTGATCATCAGGATGAACCTCTATCTGATGATATCCGGACTTCAAATCTATCTTAGAGAAATACTTACAACCCTGCACCCGATCTAGAAGATCGTCTATCCTGGGCAGCGGTTCAACATTCTTCACAGTAATCGCATTCAAACCCCTGTAGTCTATACACATACGAAGCTCTCCTTCCTTCTTGGGGACAAATAGGACTGGTGCTCCAAAAGGAGGCGAACTGGGCATGATCCAACCTTTCTCGAGGAGCTCATCTGAATGTTTGCGTAGCTCCTCTAACTCTCTAGGGGACATCCTGTAGACTGCTCCCTTAGGAGTCCTACTGCCAGGCTCTATCTCTATCATGTGCTGGATGGGTCGCGACACTACTCCTGTCGACGACTCAGTCAAATCTTTGAATTCCTCCAACAGCTTGGCAATGGTTGGGTCCATGGAACTATCTCCTTCCTTAGCCTCAGTGACAGGCCTCACATACCCTACGAAGACCTGATCCTCTAACTGCTCCTTTTTCACTAGTCGCGCGAACGAGGGAGCACTGAGACAGCAATGTGCCAAGGTGTTATCTACACCTAACACATGAAACAGGAGGGCAATCTTAACCTCGCCTGACTCATGCTCTCTTAAGTGGAGTGTGGCCCCCGCTGCCTCTCCCCAATCCATTCCTAACACTATGTCGAAAGGAAGGTCATCCTGAACGAGGAGAGTCAGGGAATGGAGAACTTTCTCCACCTTCCCATATTTCTCTAGGCGAAAGTACGCCTGGACTCCCTCTACGTAGTCCTCAACTCGCATTGTGCGGTTGTCGGCGAGGACACTGACTATGGGGTCTGCTAATTTTTGGACTTTTAATCCTAGCCTCAACTTCTTCAGCGCCCTACGACTGATGCAACTGCGGGTGGCCCCTGAGTCTATAAGGGCCCCTACTCTGCTTCTAAACACTTCTACATCTACCAAGATCAGTTGTCCCTTACTCTCCTTCTTCATTTTGGCCCAGGCTGGCATCCTCTCCTTCAGCTCTTCTGCCACACCTGTGAGGGACGTGCCTAGAGAGACGCTAACACAAGCAATCTCTGGACAGCTAGCTAGGCACGGGCCTGCAACCTCTGCCGTAGGCTCATGTGGTTTGGGAGCTTCCTGTGTGCGCGCGCTCGCGCTCGCTTCCTCACATGGCCTTGAAGTAGGGGCAGTTGCGACCCCTACTGGCGGCTGCCTTTTGATTGCTGAGCAGCTCATCGGGTCTGTCTGTACTTAGGACAAAATTTAATTACATGGGCCGGGTCACCAGAGAATACGCACTGACCCAGGTCCACGCGTCCCTGCCATACGCGCCGGTCCAAGCCCAAATATTTCCAGGGCCTGCCCTGTGGCAAGCCTGGGTGCCATCCTCCTTGAGGTGGCCTTCCACCTTGTCGTTGTGGGGACCGACAAGAACCCTGACGATTTAGCGGGGGACCTTGACCCCTACCTCCCACTTCGCGGTTCCCTTGTCCGCCAACCCCCTGTGTGCCCGGTCCTCGGCCTCCCATGGCCTGGCCCCTTTGGCCCTGGCCTCCTCCTCTACCTTGCGGCCTCCCTCCAGCCGCGACAGCCGCATAAGATCTCCCCTGCCCTACGCTGTTGTCATCCTCCTCTAACCCCCACTCAATCTCACTGTAGGGGATTTCATCTGTACCACCTTCTTCTAACGTGAGGATCATATGATCCTTGGCCCTAACTTGGCCAGAGATGGTACGACCTTTCCACTTCTTCCCCTTATCCAAGTCCTTGTGCCAGAAAGTGGAAACTGGCATGGACTTTGACTCGAACAGGACCACCTCTCTACTCAGTACATCATAGGTGATGTCGGCCTGTTGAGATCTATCAAAGAAATGCCCTCTCAAGGGCTCTGGCATGGCACGATAGAATAACTAGACCAACTGGGGCTCAGTGACCCCATGGTCTGGGACGGCTACCAAGTCGTCCATGACGCCCTTGAGTGCTCTTGAACTCCTCCACTGTCACGAGTGGATAGTTTGTAGTTTGTCAGAGGCTCTAACGCCTCTCGTTGGGTCAACAAATCGCTCCCTCAGGAGCTTGAAGACGTGAGGAAGGGGGGTAACCTTGGAGTATGCAACCAGGTTGTTTTCACCGCCGGGTGCGAGCGCTAGGGACCTGGCAAAACTAGCCGCTTCATCCTTAAGGACCTGGAAGGTGACGAGGACTTGCTCCTCAGTCAGAATGTGCTGTAAGTATACGTAACTGTTCACACTAGCCTCCCAGTTATCAAAATTTTTCTTCCTTCTTCCCTCCATACGCATCTGGGAATTTAAGCTTGACTGGGTCCTTGCGGGGTCTGGCCTCGCTCTCAACGGCGGCTATTGCTTTGGCACCCTCAATGGCGCCCTCACATAACTTCCCCACGTTGTCTCTCAGTCGTCTAACTTCCCCTCCAACGTGGGTGACTATGTCACGCGCAAAATCCCTGAATCCTTACCGCATGGCACTCAGGGCTACATCTTGACCCCAGCTAGCTTGGTGCTCCATCCAAGCTGCACTCAACACTTGTAAATATCCCAGCATCTTGTCCATTTTAGCAGACATGTCTGTCTGCGCCTGCACTTCCTGTCTACAATCCTTCACTTTTGCCACTTCTGCGGTCAATCTGTTAACCTCCTCCCTCCTTCTCTTCTTCTCTCTCTTCATCCTCAACTTCCATTCCAACTTCTACTCCTCCTCCACTTCTTGCCTTTCCAGGGGGTCCAAGATTGCTGCTAGCTCCTGGGCTAACGCATCCCTCTCATCCTGTGGCACACAGAACTGTGCCTCCTCATCTTCCCCCAATGCTAAATTAGCAATCCACTCGCTGATTTTCTTCTCCATTGCGGCGTCCTCATTCGCCGTGCCACTACTCTCTCCTTTTACTTCCCTGCGTTTCCTCTCCTCTTCTGCTTCTGATGCCGCTTCTTCTTCAACAACCTTCTTCTTTTTCTCCATCTCCTCCTCCAATTCCTTCTTAGTTTTCTCCATCTCCAATTCCTTCATCTTCGTCGCCTGCTCCTCTGCGATTGCCTTTAGCTTCGCCTGTTTCAGAAGCTCTTTCCTCTCTTTATTCTCTCTTACTAAGGCGGCCATCTTCTCTTGCTGTTCCTGGGTGTAGGGGCTAGTGCTCTTCCCATTGCGGGTGTCAACCATGGTGACAAGTGCACAACTGGATTAGCGGTTCCAAACCTCACCACGTAGACTCTAACCCCTGACTGACAAACCTACTGACTCAATCTAAGACTCACAGAATCCGGACAGGGATCCTGCCAACTAGGGTCTCTAGCCTAGACCTACACTATGGCTGTCACTACTAGACCTGTTGCTGATCAGGAGGCATTTAAGGAGATCCCCCGTAACTCCTCAAAAATTATTTAACGTCGCACACAGGACGATGCGATCAGCAGGTATCTCAACACTTAGACAGCCTGTTGCGCAGCCCACAGCTCGGATTTTGGGCCTTCCGTGCCACACCGAGCAGCCCGCCAGTCAGTACCGGTCCTTAGGAGGGTTAGGCCTCCGGGACAGTCGAGTCATCAGACACAGTCTTTAGCCCTACTCAGCCCGTGTGGGTTTGGTCAACAAGGCCCTATCCTTCATCCACAGAGTTCTATCACCTGGACAAAAGAGACTCAATG